TCAAGGCCAAGTCCCTCCACTGGGAAGACATACGCCCCACACCCAGACAGGAGGGCTGACCCGGGCAGAGGATGCAGCATAGGCTCACCTGCTCCAGCAGCCGAGTCTGCTCACCCAGCCTGGCCTCCATTTTAGCAATCACCTCCTGGAGTCTGCTCCTCTCCTCCTCCATGTCCCTCTGCTGCTGTGACAGCCTGTCCTGGAGCACTGGGGAGAGGCATCAGAGGGCCATGAGCAGCATGAGGTGGGAAGCCCCGCTCTGTCCACACTGTATTCATGGAAAAACTGCATGTGTTTGTGCTTATCACCTTCTGCACATCCCCAGGACACTGTTTTGTAAAGGGGAGACCCTGAGATGTCCAGTGATCAAGGCAGGCAAGGCTTTGTCAGCCTTGGCTCCCAGCCTCTGGCTGACTTGGAGCACCTTCTCCCTGTTTTCTGGGTGTTCCCAGCCCCAGCAGGGACCCTGCAGCCGTTTTGGTGCAGAGGAATGGCAGACATACCCTTGAGCTGCTTGTCCCGCTGCCGTGCCCCCATGGCCAGCTCCTGGGAGGTGGTGTGGTGCGTGGCCTCCACCTTGTGCGAGAGGTCGTGCAGGTCACTGGAGAACTTCTCCATCTGCTCGATGACACCGTTCAGAGACCTGCAGAGAGGAGTGAGAGGAGGGGCAGCCCTGTGGGACACACTTCATCTCACTGTGACGGAGAGGGGCATGCATGGTGGGCCAGGGCAACCCTGCCCTGAACATCTCTGGATCATCGCAGAGCCGCGGGAAGATGTAGCTGCTGCTTAGGGGAGTACTGGTGGATATTAAACAGCTCAGCATCCCTGGAGGCAGCGGGTGGGAGAGGGGATGGTCCCTGTTGTCATGGTCCGAGGCTGGCTTCTCGTAGGACAGGGAACACCACAGTCAGGGACCAATGTGGGGGTACGCCACCAGCTGTCAGTACCTGGTGTGCGAAGTGGCGCTGGTCACTGCATCGATCTCCTGGTCTTTCAGCCGCTTCAGCCGCTGGAGCTGCTCGTCGTGGTCTTTGCGCATCTCCTGGATGGATGCCCTGCAGGACACAGGGAAGGAGCCCACCATGGGCTGTTACAAACCAGCGCTCCCTGTGACAGGCACTTAGTTGTGGGGCTGAGAAACAGGTCCCAGGAGCTGAGCTGGCATGGTGGTCCGTCACGGGGCATCCCACTGACAGGCATCCATGTTTGGGATGGGCCACATTTGGGGGTTACAGGCTTCTCATTGACCCAAACTATGTGGACGTCAGTGACTGACTGACCTGCATAAAAGGGATTTGGGGGAGATATAACACTGGGTTCAGCATCTTTCAAAATACAGTGCATTCACTCTGAAATGATGTCTCCAGCCAGATCTCCCTGTGTCCACCTACAAAGCAAATCCCCATTCCAAAAGCCACCGAGCTGCCCACAACCCAGTAATTCTGGACTCCGGTTTCTCCTTCCACCATGTGTCTGTTCCCTGGTTCCTTTGCCAAAAAAGGTGAGCTAGCGCCACGTGTGCGCCACTCATGCCACTCTCACCTCTGCAGCTCTCGCAGCCGCTCCAGCTCCAGCGCGTTCTGCTGCTCCAGCGCGGCCAGGCGCTGTTGATGCTGGGCCAACAGCTCTGCCCGTGCCTGCTCCACATCCCGGCTCTGCGACAGCAGCTGAGCTGCCAGCTGGTCCTTCTCCCGCCGTAGCCTCTCCTCCCGCTGCCCGTAGGTCTCCTCCACCACCTTCACCCGGCTCCTGCCCGGAGAGGTCACAGCAAGGAAGAAGTGTTGCTTTCATGGCAATACCTGGCACTCTCCACCCAAAGTGCAGACAGGGATGTAGAAGCAGATCGGTGTCGCTGTGAGCATGGGGAAACATGCAGACTTTCCGCAGTCTGAGCCCCGAACCCTCCTGCTACTGCCCAGTGTGGTGCCGTGGCTGGGAACGTGCTGGCAACGGGACTGGCCCCTTCTCCTTGCCACCCATGGGGACAGTGTTGGTGAGAGTGAGCTCCCACCATGGCTCGCCCATGGGGCTGCTTTCTGTCCCCACGTGGGGACAGGCTCTGTGCCTTTCTCCCCACCTCAGGGATGGATTTGGAGAGCGTCTCAGCACTCCCACCCTAGGGGAGATGGACAGGGCTGTAAGGCAAGGACCCGACAGAGTAGGGGAGCACAGGCAAGAGCCTGGTACCTGTGGGCGCTCTCGAGGAGATCCAGGTCCTCCTGGTGTCGCTGCTGGAGACTCTCCAGCAACAACCTGTGCTGTGTCCCCTCCAGCTCCAGCGTCCGGACCTGCCAAGCACCCAGTGAGAAGGTCCTTGTGCTGCCCTGAGGACAGAGTTCCCACAGCAGCACTTGGCAGCCATAGGCATCTCTGGACAGGGAGGTTTCTCCTCTCTCCCCTGTCACCCTGATACTATTTGGAGCAGACACAGCCCCTTCTCCTACCCCTGGGTCACTGGTGGTCCCCCATCCAGCAAGTGATGGGGCTCACCTGGCTCTCCAGCTCTGCCACACGGGCCTGGGTGCTGAGCAGGGCTGCCCGACAGCCTGATGCATCCTCAAAGAGCTGGGCTGCAGGAGCCCCCAGCCTCCTCTCATGCAGCGAGCCCAGGGCTGGGGACTCTGCCTACAGGGATGGAGAGAAAAGACCAAGGCCTTTCAGGATCAGTGGCTTTGTGTTGTGGCCATCAGCCCCCAAAGGAAGGCAAGTGCCTCACCTGCAGCTGTGGGGCAGCCTGGAGATGTGCCCTGGGTGTGGTAACCTGTGGAGACACAGAGATGCTGCTCTCAGGGAGGTGAAGCCCTGGGGAGAACATTTCCGCCTAGCCTGGGAATGGCGATCCACCCCCAGCCCACTGCAGTCCCTCCTCCACCTTCTCCAGCCCAACCCCATTGCTGGCCTGTGTCCCTTCTCTCCCAGTGACGTTCAGCGGCCCCTACCCCAGACACAAGCATGCTGGGGACAGACTCAAGGATAAGACCATGAGTCCTCTGGGAGACAGTGTGTGTCCTGCTACCAGGGCAGGGCAAGGAGGCCCAGACAGATGAGAAATGGATGCTTCAAAGACCAAGCAAGAGCCTTCCTCTCTGTCAAAGGCTCTAATTCCCCTTCAGTCATCTAGAAACAAATCTCAAAGCATCTTCACCACCATACTGGGGAAAAACAGCTGAAGAAAAAGTCCTTTGTTAACTAGAGCCTCTGTTGTCTAATTAATGTCATATATATGCGTGGTGAACTATATAAATGCTGCTCAGGCAGCACAGGGTTGTAAATGCACATGATTTACAAAGCATCCATAGCACATGTGCTTTGGCCTGATAAATACAACTTGTGGCATCTTGGGGCTCTCCAAATACTTTGCCTCCATGAACACGGGCTCCCAGAGATGCAAAGCAGGGCACGTCCTTCCTCCTGCCAAGGGAGCACGGACAGAGTTGGATGCCAGCGAGTTGGCAGGGGAAAGCTTGCAATCACCATCCCGGCCCCTCCTCTTCTGGGGAGATGGGATGAGCAGACCTACCTGAGCGAGTGGGGCAGGGCCCTGCGTCTCCTGCTCTCCTGGGAACAAGGCTGTGGGATCTGAAAATTGAACAAGTCCATGATTCAGACGTGGCAATGGGAACCATCCTCTCCCAAGGAGGAGGGCCTGGGTCTCCTGAGCAGAGCAAGAAGGGTCCTGCTCCACTCCAGCAGCTGGTGACAGGGATGGAGGGGCTGATAGGCTTCTCCGTACCCACACCCCTACCGCACCCCACACATGATGGCGGGACTCTGCTCCACAGAGTAAGCCTGGGGGGAAAGCACAGCTCCTCCTCCATCCCCATCAGCTAGGGAGGTGACTGGGTCCCCTAAGCTTCTTTCAGTGGCCTCCGAGCCAGTGCACAGCCTCAGCCTAGGGCAGGAGGGGGTCTTCTAGCACACAGCACTAGTGGGACAAGTGTGGGGGCAGCCGGAGGGAAGGGGGAGAGAGCAGGGACAGCAAGAATTTATGCCCACCCATTGCTCAGAGAGAGCAAGCGCTCTCATAGCCCAAAGGCAGCACTGCAGAGCTCAGCATGCCCCAGCATGATGTCCCCACCACGCCACAAAAATGGGGACAGTGGGATCCCACAGCTTGGCAGCCTGTTCTGACAACAGCTGGTCAAAGCCTGGGCAGCATTCACATGGCCAAGGACGATGCTGTGGCTCCTGCCTTTTTTTTTTTTTTTTTTTTTTTTTTTTTTAAGAAGGGGGGCCACCTCACCTGTACCACACGAAACGCACCCAGGCTGCTAGCGTCTCTGGAAGGATCCCCCTTCGCAGCCTCCGACGGGCGAGCTGAGGCTTGTTTCATGGTGCTGAGCCAGGGGCCTGGCTGCCTGCGTGGGCACAGACACATGGGTGATGCACAGCAGTGTCACAGCTCAGGGAGAGGCGCACAGATGTTATCCTGCTTGGCATTTCTTTAAGTTTAAAGCTTGGCCATTCCACTATCAAATAGGCAAGAGCCTGATGATCCTTCAGAGCTGTCTTCCCTCTCAGTTACAGAGGTCCCAGACCAAAGTGATCCCTGATGGCTACCAGCTCTTCCCATTCCCCCATCTCACCCGCACAGCTGCATTCTGCAGGAAATCTCACCCATGGAGGACACCTGAAATGCGAAGGAGGCCTTACCCAGAGCCGTCTGCACTCACTGCCTTGTCCTGCAGGGCAGCTGCCTGCTGCGGTGCTCCTGTGGAGGCGGCTGGCTGGCTGCAAGCAAAAAGCATGCTATGTGGGAGAGCTGAGGAGGTGATGAAAGACAAGAGCCTTTCCCCCAACATCAGTCCCTGCCTCACAGATGAAAGCCTCTATCCCACTCAGCTGCGGCAGGATTCAGCCTTTTGGTTGCAGAGGGGAAAAAAGACACCCCAAACCCTCCATCACTGGTGCTCCTCCTTGCTGCATCCACCCCCTTCCCCTGGGCAGCCACAGCCCCAGCCAACACACCCCTGCCCACCATACACGGCTGTCTGCAATTGGCTTCCGAATCCCATTCGAATGGCACAGGTCTGACCCTCTGTCTGTGCAAACCCAAACCGGAGGAGGTGGTTTGCCTGGAACTAAGAGGAATGAAGGCAGGAACAAGGAGCATGGGGAGAACCTATGGGGGTGTGCTGATCCAGGACAGCTCCACAGGACCCGGGGCAGTGTGTGCAATCTTGGCCACAACTGGAAGGAGAGCCCAGAGGTGTAATGGGACTGTGGGCTGGATCAGTGGGAGAAAGCCCCCACGTTATTACCCCAACCTGAGATAAGATAGTGCTTAAAATAAATTTTTTAAATCTGAGCCGAGGGTTTCTGAGAGGTCCTGCTGGAGCAGCTACACTTGGAGCAGAGGGGAGCACTGTGGCCATCAATCATGCCTTTACCTGACGGGAGAGCAGGGATCCAGCCCTTCGCCTGGGGCCTCCGAGGGCTTGGCACTTCTCTCCTGGGCCTTCGCCTGTGCTTGGGCTTTCTTGCGAGACAAGGCAGCGCTCAGCCAGTTCTCCTCCTCTGGAGGGTCAGGTTTAGCCACTGCCTCCTCCGCAGCCGGGGGCTGGCCGGTGGGGCTGGGACACCTTTCTGTGGCAGGGCTGGGGTAGCTGACTGCAGGACTGGCCTTTGCTGGAGATGGAGGCTCCGAATCCATAAAATCCTCATCTTTCAAGCCCAGCCAGTCGCCTCCAGCCCTGCTGCCTCGCACAGGGCTCTGGCTGGCTGCAGGAGGAGGTTTGGAGCGGGGCTCTGGTTTTGGTTCACTGCTGTTCTCAGCTGAAAACCTGCTGCAAGGAAAAGCAGTCACATACCTGCCTGCGAGGGGACCCCAGGGACCCTGCTCTGCCGCAGGGGCAGCGTGGTGGCTGGAGCAACAGACACACGCAGAGCACCATACCTCACTGACGGCCTTCTCGATGGCCGGCCCTCGGACGTGGAGGCCACTGTGGGCTGGTATGCTCCAAAGACAAAATCTTCCTTGTCCCAATCCTCTTCCTTCTCTGTTGAGACAAGCAGCCTTAAATCAGAGCCCAGAGGAGCAGACGGCTGCAAGACAGAAGCCCTTCTCCTTCTCCTCCTCCTCCCCTCCAATTTCCACTGGGATTGCTGTCTCTGGGAAAACACAGCTGGAAATATCTTCCCTGGAAACCTGCGAGCAACGTGCCTCCCCAGCGTGCCTGGTAAAAGCATCTTCATTGGGAATCAGCTCACATACAAAGGCAATTGAGTTACAGCTACTGTGCAAACGCTCCCAGGTTGCCTTGAGGGCAGAGTACAACATTTTTGCATTAGTCACCTTCCCCACGCTGACTGAGTGCCCGTAAGCAACCCTACTCACCACCACAGAAAGTGTATTTCCCCTGCAAGGGCATTAGAAATCAATCTCGTTCTCCAAAGCCAACGCTGTCACCCCTGCAGCCCTTCCCAGCATCCCTGGCTGTGCTCACCTGGCTGCTTTTGGTACTTCTTATCCAGTTTGAATTCCCTGCGCTCTTCTGTGCCTGGCTGTTCCAGGATTTTGGCCACAGAGCCTCGTCCCAGCAACTCATCCAGCTTGGAGCGAGCTGGCCGGAGCTCCTCTCTGTTGGGGACAGAGCAGCAGATGGGTTTCTCCGAGAGGCAGGGCTGTTTCTTGTCATGCAGCCCTGCCAGGGTGCTCTGGCTCCTCTGCGAAACAAGGCTGCTCTCGCCCCTTTCTGGGAGCCACAGGCAGAAACTCCAGCATCCCCCCCCCAGCACAGTGAGACCATCCCAACACACAAGCCACCCCCTGCTTTACTCCTACTGCCTCTTCATCACCCTTACTCTCCCGCCTTCTTTCCCTGCTTCTCATCTCCTTTTGGGCCGCTGCCAAATCCCAGTGCATCCATCAGGTCGTCACCATCATCTTCAAACGTGAGCATCTCTCTCTTCCGGACTGGGGCCACAGCGTGCAGGGGCGTCTCTGTGGATGGGATCACACATGGCAGGAGGTTTGATCATGGATTTTTGTTTTTTAACAAGAGATCAAAGCAGCTCTGCCTGCTGTCATTTTTAAATAACTCTTCTCAGTGACCAAACCTCCCAGCAAGTGACAAAGTGGCAACGCACTACTGCCTGGTCAGTGGCTGTGCATCCACTGATGGGACATTGCTGGGTGTCACTAACACTGGGGTTTCCAGCTCTGGAAAACACCAGGAGCTTTTCTAGCTCTGCAATTTTCCAATCAGATAATTCCTGCCCCGCTTCACCCAAAGTCCCTGATCCACCAATGCACCTTAGTCCTTGCCCTAACCCACCAGCTGCTACTTGTGTCCAGAGTGGATTTATCGAGGTGAAGGGCAATTTTAGGGGACTATCCGACCCATTAGTATCCCTGTTGCAGGAACAAGAAGGATGAGTGCCTGCAACACAGCCACAGTGCAGCTCGATTCCACCCAGAGGTGCCCGAGCTGTGGTTTGGCACCCTGACCCAGAAAACTTGTTCTCATTTGGCAATGTGCAGAACAGGCTGAATGAGGTCAGAGATAAGATCTGAGCCTCCATTCCCAGAAAGGAAAGGTCAGTTCCACAACCTGTGGCACACTGGAAGTATCAAGCACTGGATGAGCTGTGTCACAATTAACCCCATTACCAAGTTGCTCTATAAATGACCATACTGGTTAATAAGAGATGGGACTAGGTGGCTTTTGATTTAATCAGTTTGGACCTCAGACAAACTAATCCAGGCTGCTGATTCATTTAATACAAAGAGGATGCATCAAGCAACCCTGCTTACCTTTCTCTTTGCTCTGTTCTGTTTTTTCCTCAGAGCTGCTTTTAGTGCCTGTTGGAGCTGGCTTCTTGGGAGCATCCTGCTCCTCATCAGATAAAAGCCCTGCCAAAGGATCATCTAAATCTGGGAATTACCCCATAGGGGCAGGAAAGGAGAATAGTAATAAAAACAAACAAAATGAACATTATTTAGAAGAACAGTTCTGCACTAAGCCAAGCACTATTCCCCACCATGTGTATATGGGGACAGGAGATCATCTCTGCCCAGCACCATGAATGCAGGTTCTGCAGGGACCTGAGATACCCTTGAGTCTCCCTGAACTTCAAACGCACAAGAGTTACATTTCTGTTCAGTTTTTCCAAATTTCCTTTCTCCTAGAAGAAAATAACTCAAATTTTGGGTGCTTTAATACTTGAACACTGTTAAGGCAAAGAAAAAGGGGAGAAGAAAGCCCACCTAAATCACCTAAAGCCCCTCACTGATTTTAATAGATGCTGATCTTGGTTTGAGGACAGGCTTTGACAACCAGATCTCAGCTGTGCCAGGAAACCGCCCCCACCTCGTTTGGAAGCTTGACAGAATACCCCTGACCCAAGGGCTCCCAAGTGTTACAGACAGTCATTAAAAACTCAAGCACATGTGAAAATGCAAATGCCCCCAGGAGTCATCTCCCAGCCCTGTCCTGGGGTGGGCCTCAAACACAGAGCTGTAATTTTTTTTTTCCCTTTGGTCACCTCTGAAGGATTAGATTTGCACTGCCATCGTAGGGGTGAAGGACTCTGTATCTCATTAACCAGCCAAGCCTCCGGTTAACGGCAAGCTATGGGCCAAGAGCAAGGGCAGAGTCCTCAGCTGCCCCCATGCATCCACGTGCTGAAGCAAAGCGACTTCCTACCTTCAAAGTTAAATTTCTTGTACTGTCGGGAAGCAGGGGCGGATGAGAGTGGTGGCTTCTCCACCACAGGTACAGAATCTCCTAGAAAAAAATGCCATGGTTCTCAAGAGACAAGGTGCTGCAGAGATGCCCTCCCCCACCCCGGCTGAAGGTCAATTTTCTGGTGGCAGCCCCCTAAAAGCACATACTGCAACACACAGTCCCCCTGCAGCCCTGCGGGGTGGGAATCTCTCTGGAGGGGTCTCCTTGCAAACAGAGAAGGAGAAAAGGGCCTAGGGAAGAGCAGGGCAGTTTGGGGACTGGCATGTCTTGAATGCAACCCCTCTGGTTCTGCTTCCACATAGATCAGGCAGATCCCTGGTCTTTGACCTGCACCAGGGAATGGCCAAATAGTGTTTGGTGGGAGGTGGCAGCGTGGCCATTGTTGCTGCTGCTGTTAGCAGTGTTACCACACCACGACAAGAGGCCAGGCCAGAGATCTTACAAGGGAGAATACATGGCCAGAAAAACACTCTGTGTTTGGGACAGTTCCAAAAAGGACCAGGAAAAGGATTTTACTAATAAATCCACTTTTTGTTCCCTACCCCAGAAGAAAACACCCTCTCTGCTCATTTGGAACCAGGTTATGAAAGAAGAGCAGAATCTCCTTTTTACCTTTCTCAAAAGCTAGAAGCTTCCCTGTGGTTTTTACGGCTCCTCCCAAGGAGTCACATTTCCCAGGACCTTTTGCAGTTGTCTTCCCTGGCCCAGAACTGGGTTTTGATATTCCCAGAAGATCAGCTTCCATGTCGTCCATGTCCTGGAAAGCAACAGGATGAGGACGGGAGCAGGGTGAGTGCTGGCAATGCCTCGGTGCTGCTTCTCCCTTTAGAGGCCGTGGCTGCAGCGCACATTGGACTGAGATGAAGGACATTGATGCACTTACCTTCAGGGTCTGTAGCAGAGCTTGCGGGTCTCCGTCGGAGGCACTGGATCCCTGCATGCCAAGGAGGGCAGAGATCAGAGACAAGCAGACCTCAGAAACTCCTCACCCATTGCTTCCATGCACCGGCCCCTGGTTTTTCTCACTTTATGGAATGGAAGAATACATGCTCAACTCCTCCTGGTGTCCCCCTCACTGGAAACCCACTATGCCTGGATTCCTTTGCTGAGATCCTGCTGCCTCTGGGAGAAGCATCAGGAACAGCCAGGCCATTGCTCTGGATAAGGGTCCTTCCCACAACACTTTATCTGAAGGCTGGGCTGCAGCACAACATGCCCCCCTAGCTTTGCTCCATCTCATCCAGAGCACTGGGAAACCCTTCTCCCGCCACCCACCCACTCCTCTGTCCCATCTTCCCCACCCTACAGCAATGCCAGTGAGGGGTTATATCTTCAGCCAGACTTCATCGTTCATCCCTGACACCCCACTGCTGACTTGGATGGAGCGACACCAGGGGCAAGCCTGGCCTGGCTCAGTCCCAGCCCTCAGGACGCCCAGGCTCTCCCAAAATTTGGGCTCACCTCTGCAGCTTCGATGTCCTCTGCAGGGAGTTTGCTGAAGAAATCATCATCTAGAAAGGACCTGTGACACAAGCCTGTGGGTTAGCAGCACCACATGTGAGCTTGGCAAGGGTGCCCTGGGGACAGCCAGGCCAGGTGGGAGGTGGAGGGGACCACACAGGCACACCGTGGCATCCGCATCATACAACAGAAAATGAGGCTAAAATAGCACTGGGATAAAAGACAGTAGTGCTGGGACTGCTATGTTTAAGCAAGCAACTATTGTAAGGGAGATTTACAGATGTAGAGGGCTGGGGGCACCCAGCTCTTGCTAGAAAGCCTCAGGCTCTGGGCTCCCAGTTCCCAAAGGCATCGCGGGTAACTCGCCTTCCCAGGCAATTGCTGTTGGGGCAGGGAACAAGGTGGAGAAGCCAAGGATGGGGCAGGTCACAAGGACTTGGGGAGCACAGAGAGGTCTCCAAGTGGGAGAGGCTGTGTCTGAAAGGCACTCACCTCTTGCTGGCCTGCGAGCTGGTGCCCCGGGCTCTCCCACTGCTGCCCCCAGCCAGCTGTGGAGCTCTGGCAGATTTAACAGGGGTTTCATCTGGAAACAAGACAGGGAGAGATTAGGATGATGGATGTGGGCATGTCCCTGGCCGAGGCACTCCAAAGGGGGATCTGCTGTCTTCTCATAGATCACAGAAGCTTTTAATCAGAGAGATAAACGTCACTCTGCCTCCCTAAACTGATGTCCAACCTATTCGATGGCCTCTGCTCTCCCCTCTGCTCCCTGCTTTGTCCCCCCTAACAACCCCAGCCCCTTGGAGATCAATGGCTGTTGCACCAGCACCTCCTGCTCCCAGGAAGGGAATAAGAGTACAAAGATCCTGCCCTTTCAGCTGCAAAGAAGGTTCGTTTTACCATCATATCGCAGGAGGTCACCAAGCACATCATCAATGGAGCCTGAAACGAGACGAATTAAAGGTGGTGAGGCAGGTGAGCTCACCAAGCTAGTGTAGAAAAGCTCCCAATTTCAATATGGCTTGCTCTTTTGAGATCCCACAAGAATAAAGGTTTGGTCTCAAGCATCATCAGCATAAGGCCTTCCTTGCCCATCTAGAGAGAGCTGCCAGGGCCAGGACTTGATCCAGTCTTTTGTGGATGTAAGATTTGGCTGCACTTAGCCAGGAACAGGATTTCTTTACCAGGCGAGCCAGCTGCTTTCCATGCGGTTAGTTGCTGGCCACAGGCAGCACCTAATCTGTGAACTCTCACCCTACAGTATCTCAGAGCCCCTGGGCAACCCCAAAAGCACTGCTTCAGTATCAGGGACTGCAAGAGGCCTCTAAATAAGCAGTTTTGGAGTAGCTGAGGGGAAGAACTGAAATAAGTGCATATATTTTCCCCTTTGGGGATTTGGGAAAGCCCCCAAGAAAGGCGTATAGGAGCCCAATAAGCAAATCCACTTGATATGAGAGGCAAGTGAAGGTCTCTGGTTCAGGAATGACCCAACGCACTCAGTTGCTGCTTTCAGACAAGGATTGTGAACATTTCAGTAGCCAGGACTGCCACCTGACCCCAGTGTCCCCCCTCCTCCGCCCCACACATTCCCAGCAGATCAAAGCACCCTCAGACAGCGAAAGGAAAGCAGGCAAGTGTACATACCACTTAAACTTTTCTTGGCTTTTGTAGCCTGTAGAGAAAGACAAATTCCCTCATTAAAAAACAAAGCAAGTCTGACCTGGACTTTCTCAAAACATGAAAGACAGCGGAAGGTTTCTTCAGAGAATCCCACGAGCAATGGTGAAGCCCTCCTCCCGCCCACAGTTTGGGAAACGGCACGTGAAATACAGGGGAATCACGGAGATATTTACAACTTTAGAGACCCCAGTGATCACAGCCCCTCCTGACCACCAGCTGGGCAGAAGCCTCCAGCCCTTGGGGTCACTTCTGCCTCCGAACAGAGGTGCCAGAGCATCAAATTTGGATTTCCCAGGCCTACCTTCACACCGTATCATACTCACCATCACAGGATTCCAGCCTTCCTCTGCTCCAGCAAGCCCGCTTACAGATTCATCTGATCTCCACCTCCACGTTGCAGTGGGATCTAACACCGCTGATCACATCCGCACCAACCTCTTACCTGTGGGAAGAGTGGGATTTCCCAATTTGCTGTTAAACAAACTTCCCTCTCCTGCTCGGGGCCCTTCTGCAGCCTGCCAGGCTGGCTCCATGCTGCTCGGACCTCTCCAAACCGCTCTAAACAAAGCTCAAACTGAGTCTTAAAAACAACCTCCTATTCCCCCAGACAGTGGAGCTTCTGCAAAAGCTTGCA